TATACACTTTCAAATAAGTATTTCAATCTCTGAGATAGCAAGAACACAAAACGTATCTGCGTCTGTCGTCAAAACTGTCAAACGACAAACGAGCATAATGAATTTGCAAGTATTCAATACGTAGTCTTCAAAGTATTTCACGAATATGAAAAATTCATTACCTACATCGAAAAATATCCATACCTATATATACTCATAATATGATTGTGTCTTCGACTCGGGAAAATTTTCAAAATATTCGTGTTCTCGAAAAAATCATAGGGATTCCCTTTCGTGCGCTCCAAGCGATAAAAAAAAAATTGCCCCAACTTTTCTAGCGGCAACGGAACCTAACTTTTTTGAAAGCATGACAACCTGCCATAAACAATTGTTTTATGAATTGAATTGTCTTACCAAATTACACTCTATAGGTTTTCTTTTTAGTCGAAGTGAACGTGTCTCTGCATATTTCATACTTCTTCGAATAAAAAGAGACCATTGATTTTACTTTGAATCACCCTTCTGTAAGAATGATCTTCAGTTTCAAGCTGAAAAGGATATTCCGCTCATTTTAGAAACTCGAGTCTTTATCTGTCACTTACTGAATAGATTCTCGTAAAAGTATCTAGATTACCTCTGAATTTGAATGAGCTGCTTTTGATGTAAACCAATTCTGAAGTTTCGACTAACAAATGAGACGGTGATTTGCATGGAAAGAAGCTGCACCAACGACTTCAGTTTTTTATTGTATATACAGGGTCATTCACCTAACTAATTCATTAGATGTTTATAGAGAACCAAAAGGGACATCCGGTTGAACCAGAATTAACATAACATCGTTTTTCTAACTGGAACACCCTGTATATTATAACATCGTTGAATACTTCCTGGATGAGAGCTGATTTCATCAATATTTCACATTTTGGGTCTAGAGAGAGAGATTACATAGATATACATAGAGTGTTCAAGATCGAGAATTTCTTCGTGTCGAAACATACCCCTGTCCTAACTTTTGTTTCACTATCTACTGACAATCATTCGGAAAAGATACAGTATGATCAGAATTCTGCACCACTGGAACATGTTCGCCGTTTTGACCAATAAATGAAATCCAATTGTTGGAAAATTCCGAATTTGAACACCCTTATATCTCTGTAATCAGCTCTTCAGGGAGAATCTAGAAATATGAAGATGAACAGGGTGTTTTTTGAAAAAACGAAGTTGATGTCACTTCCGGTTCATGAAAGCTATAGTCGAAAATATTTCAGAAAAATCATCACGCAATGGCTGTCCCCAGAATTTCAGATTGATGTCTCTTTTGGTTATGTGTACAGGGTTGGGATGATGTATAGAACCAAACAAATATCTCGGTAATCGTTTTTTTCATTGTTTCGGATTCATGTACAGGGTGATTCCAAAACGTGTCGGATTTGAAAATGTTATCCCCAATGTTGCCACTTTTTCAGTTATTCCGGAAATATTATCGACTTCCTTATTTTGAATAGAACACTCCGTATTTCAATGAATTTTCAGATTCTTCCTGAAAAGATGATTTCATCGATAGATCGATACTTGGAGTCTAGCGAAAATGATTACAGAGATATAGGGTGTTCAAAATCGAGATTTTTTAAATTTTGGATTTTTTTGTGTTGAAACTATTCATTATTGGTCAAAATGGCTCACATGTACCCATCTTTACTTCTGATTTTCAATCTACTGACATTTGATTGGAACGAATACGGAGTGGTTCAAGAATCAGAATTCTGATCACTTGGCAAGTAAGGCTAAATCTCCATATTTCGGTCTGTTGCCCATTCTCGATCAATCACCCTGTATATTCTATCCTATTATCAGGAATCTGACATGAAAAACAACTGAATGACACGTTGACCAATGATTTCGTTTTCACTTGTTATGTGGAATAGTATATATACAGTGTGTCCACCTTAAGAACTTACCACCCCTGTAAAATCGTTATTATCCGACCAATTTCAAAAAACCTTTTTTTGTTGGATAGGTATTTGAAATGCCCATCCAACGAGAGAGTGATCTAATTCTTGGACTGTTATCGTGGCCAACTGCGACAAATTTAAATGACCCATATTCCAGAAAGTACTATTAGGGATTTTTTTCCACAAAACTTGATGATGGATTCTGAATCAGTACCACTTGAAATATACCTGTACCGATTTTCATCATCCTAAAACACAGGGTGTCCGAAAAAACGAAATCTTTTCTTCAAATAGGTAATCAGCAAATGTAGTTCTGTGGTTTTTCTAGAAAGAAATAATCACAATTTATCATTGAGGATTATTTCAAATATACCTGTACCAATTTTCGTCATTTGAATATACAATGTGTCTGAGAAAAAAATTAAAAAGGATAGGTAAGCAATATTTTTCATCCTGATAATTCTTCACTCAAAATCAAAAGATGAATCAGGATCACTTGGAACATACCTGTACCGATTTTCATCATCATTAAACACAGGGTGTTCGAAAAATCGAATTAATGTTTTTTTTGAGTTGATGAAAAAATATTGCCTACTTTTTCTTTTTAATTGTTTTCTCATACACACCGTATTTTTGAATGATGACAATCGGTACAGATATGTTCAAAGTGATCCTCAATAATAATGTGTCATTAATTCTTCTCGAAAATACCACAATACTACATTTTTTGATCACCTATTAAAAAAAAAACATAATTCTTTTTTTCGAACACCCTGTGTTTTATGATGATAAAAATCAGTAAAGGTGTTTTTCAAGTGATCGTGATTCAGAATCCATCATTGTTTTTTGGGAAAAAAATCCCTAATAGTACTTTCTCAAATATGGGTCAATAAAGTTGGTCGCAGTTGGCCACGATTACAGTTCATGAGTAAAATCACTCTCTTGTTGGATGGACATTTCAAATACTTATCCAACAAAAAAAAGTTTTTTGAAATCGGTCAGATAATAACAATTTTACAGGGGTGGTAAGTCCTTAAGGTGGACACACTGTATATATATATATTTAAAGAATTTTGGTATTTGATATTAACCATTCACCATTGAAATTCATTTTCGGATACCAACACAAGTGATATAGGCTTGTTTTACCCGAACATACTCGGCACTTCGGCAAATCAACTGGAATGTTTGTTGCAGTTGTCGAAATCCAACTCGACCGAGGTAACTCTCAGGAACGTCGAGAGAGGCACCTCCGGCAAATTCAAGTGCGAAGTTACGGCGGATGCACCTCTTTTCCACACCGATCTGCGAACAGCGGAACTCACAGTGGCAGGTAAATATTCATTTCCGCCTACCTCTATCCATAGAATACATTTCTTGACCTCATTGTAGGAAGCAAAGTCGTACTTTTCCTGCCTAATGTTTCCTCCATAGGGAGGGAAAGTATAAGTGACGTCATCATGGAACGTCATCAAAGACATAACTTATACGGCTTTTACGACCTAAACTATAATATAATATTATAGAATAGAATAGAATAGAATAGGGATATTCACATAATTCCACACGAAGCATTGTGGCTGAAGCATTTGGTTATTTTGAAAGTCTTCCTTTCATCAGATGAATAGGGACCTATCAGCGCTACATTTCACAAATATTTTCAAGCTGTACAGGGTGTGCCTGTATGAATGAATGAATGATTCTCTGGGATGTGTCGAAATAGTCATGAATATGATCATAATTTTTCAGTTATCATTTTTGTCACAGAACTTTTCGCTTAATTGGCAGCCTGCTATAATATCTATCAAAATATTGACTTGCTTCCTGTGAGATACCTATCAATATCATATATGATATCATATGGACATTCCCTCTTCTTGTGTTGTACCGTATTGACAATTATTAGACGAGGAAAGGAAATACCTAATAACCTAGCAAAATAAACAGGTTGACTATGCGACGAACGCACTTATTATAGCTTTAAAGGGTTTTTCTATAGATGCAAGAGATATTCGCATGAAATTGTATCTACACTCATGTGATTTTCAGAAGTGGCTGTATGTACGAAATAATTCAAAATATATCGAATGTGAATGCAAACTATATTGAACTGTTCTTGATAATTATTTCAATTTTTCAACTTCGACATAATATGGTTGTTCTAGAAATAAACACTCTAAGACCGATTATGTCCCTATGCCTTATTTATTGTGAAATCTGGATGACGATCACCTGTCAAGCGTTGCCGATCAAATTTCGCAACATCCTGTAGAGCACACAAGTCACGACCCTATACAGAAGCTATTCAAAAATCTATGGAATTATCTATAATCTATAAAATAATGCATGTAACTTTCTCCCAGCTACTCGACGATCTCCACTAAGAGAATGTTATTCTATAGTTAAAAGGTGATGCATTATCACAGCGAATATCTGCATTGAATAGGTGCCAAAGCAATTCATTCGCTAAATGAAATATCCAGAATAAATGCTGATGCATGTGCTCTGAATATTACATTGTTCTTTCTCTTTCTCTAGTTTCAACTGATTCTTCAAGCGAACATCAATGTGCGAAATTGATTGATCTCCATTTTTTGTGTTTTTCCAATCATGTTTTCTTTATTGCTTTATTCCTAAGGGACAGTTAAGATGTATAGAATAGATCCTTGCTAAATCTTAGATCAACTCATTTTTTGCCAGAATCAACGAATGGTTTCCATTCATTCAACATTCAAAATAAAAAAAATGACAGTGTTCCTGTTCTAACCATAAATAATAGTCAAATGCTTCTGTTCTCAGTGTATCAACCCTTATTGGAGATTTGGTTCTCGCAAAAACCAAATATTCAACGTTTAAGTAACTTGATTACACAAAAGTGTTTATGGAGGGCTTGGTCGTTAAATTACTTATGCTCACAAATCAAAATAACAACTTCTATATATAATATACGAGCGACTATACGAGACCAATTTATCGATATAACCATTTGTGTTGGGTCTCGCCAACTTATATAACGACCAACGAATGTGTTCGAAAAGGCTTAAAGGCTTAGACCCCAATAAATTTAAGGAGGCGAGAGAAACATAACAAAGCTGTCAATGTTCTTAGGCCTCATGAGAAACTCTGCAGTACTCTGCCTGATTTCTGTCTGAAATTAAGATTCCATACATCTCGTGATGCTTCAATCCGAGCGGCTTATTCTCAACATTGCCTTGGGCTTGAATGAATGATGTACAGATTTTGAATTGATATACTCATTTACAGTGATACTGATCGGAGTCATTTTAAATGGCTTTATGTACATAATTCGAATTCAATTTTATTCAGCAACAGCTTCCAATAATAGTTTTGTCTCTACTATACAGGGTGTCATTGTAATGCCCCCAACTTTCTTCGTTCGTTGGCCTACTACAGGGGGACGTCACAAAGTAATTTTTTTCGATCAATGGGTTCGTGATTATTGAGGCAGGAGGCAGACTGAGATTGTAGACATTAACATATATTCAGGTAATATGGTCAGGCAGAGGTTACAGGCAACAAAATCAAAGTTTGCTTACATTTTATATTGAACATTTTTGTTCCATTGTTCCCTTGTTTTCAATTGGCGATAGATTCACTTCACTTTTACGTCCCAGTCACAAAAGTTGCAGTTTACAATAAATTCACCTGAGTGGTCACTTACACCGGTATTATCAACGAAGTTCACTGGTACTGTTCGTACGTAGCATGTTTGATAGACAAATACAAAGTCTGCTGGATACGTTCTGTATTGAGTCACGTTTGAGACTCAACATTTTACATTCTGCTCAATAGATTCAATGATTGGAATTCAATCACTCCCGAGGCTCACTAACAAAATTTTCAACTAACACAACGGAGATCAAGACATCGTATTGGAGACTGATCAAGACTGCTTCAAGAATAACTTCAGACTGTCTTATTTTATTCTGATTGTTTCTGCTTTCATACAGAATTCTAGCAATAAATTTTGGGAGAATCAATCAAATATAAGACAAGCTCCATGTTGTGTTTATATTAGGCAAGATTTTCGGTAGATTTTTTGAGCGATAAATTACAGATGTTGATTAAATTTGCGAAACTAAAAAGATTTCGTTGCAGTTCTGAATTGTTATGACGATAAATAATTTTAAGCTCCACTCATACTCTTAATGTTAACAAAACTGTCACTTACTATAGTTTTTCATTAACCCTTTTTCAAGCGATAATTCAATGTGGTTTATGATTCTCATTAATTTTTCTTGACTTCAATTTGCACAAGTGAGATGATTTCGATGTAACTCTCTAATGTTATGATAATAATTCACTTTATTATTAAGAAAATTGACAATTACATGCTCTTTCCTTCACGTATTTGGGCTAAATAATAATTATTTATTGATCTTTCGAGCCAATCAGATTAATGTGAATCCCTCTTTACTGAATTCTCTGCAAATTCTGATCAACTCCATTTTTGTCTCTCAAGTGACCAGTGAATTCGTTTCACGAAGGTATGTACCTACTTATTCCATACATTTGTGTATGCTAATGATGCTGCACTCAATTCGAAATAAACATTCATCCATTCATGTAATAATATTGCCTAATCAGTTCTTTCGAATTATTCCTCTTAGACGCATGATAAAATTTATTCTTGTATTCTTCACTGTACTGAGTTCGAAATAATTCAGAAATCAACATAGTTTTGTCTAAGATACCCGTTCATTACATCATGACTAACCAGTCATAGCTCAATGGCGGATTGAGGTAGTCAAGGTGGGTTGATATATATGTGAAAAAATATATTCTGCCTGTTCGTAACAGAAATACAAGGCATTATTTGAATGGGGTTGTACACTCTAATCAAATTCACGCCACATACCTATTTTATATTGATCAGTCCGTGTGTGGATAGTATTTGATGCTATCAGTTGTTATTTAAAATCATCCAAAATACGTTTTTTCATTAATTGAAAATCAGAACCTTCGAAAAACGCCAGGTTTCGTGACGTCATCAACCTGCTGGCATGGAGAATAGTCATCGTTGCCAAATTTATAGCCAGTAATTACCTATATGAGATTCAATATCACCAATGACAGAGTATTTACGTTCGCAAAAGACAATGTGGCCACCTGGTTCCTGATAATCACTTAATGAATACTTATATACCTTGCAAGATGATGATTCAGTGTCAGTAATAACATCCTAATATTCGTTATAATGATCATAATTTTATTCACACCCAAACTTTTTTGTGAGCCTGGCAACAGCGCAGTCGTCGAAATATCAATAGAGAAGAAGAATTATTCTAACCTAACCTTCGTAGGCCGTCTGGTTGGTAAACAAAAACAAATCAAAGACACGTTTGTTTACTTGAGAACTTTGTGGGTTTTGGAAGCCTTTTAGACTATTATTTTATTGAGTCAGATTAAGTTTCGTTTAGATTAATTATGAATAATGAAAACTCAGTATGATTTTGGAGAGAAAATGCCAGTAACATGTATTGTGGTGGGAAAATTTGATGTTTATTCCCTTTCCTACTGTGATACTGTGGAAAACTCTGTGCATTACCCACAGATGAAGGATCTATCAAGAAAAATAAGGGAAATGTGGATAGCAGCCATCAAGAGAAAGAATCAACAACAGAAACATTCATAATAAACCAGTGGATATGTAGCAGACACTATTTTCATGACAGGTACTTGAGAAAAAGGATTTTCATATTATTCATATGTACCTATACCTACTCTAGAACTGATGAATTTATTATTTCATGCTATTGAAAACATATATCATTTTTCATTTCGATGAAAGAAGCCAATACTCATTACCTTTGATGGCCCTACATGGTTTGGAAACATCATGTTTTCACTCCTGTTTTCAATACACACATAATTTATTTACCTTGTAGGAGAACCTAGTGCCTGAAAGATGAAAATCATCCAGCTTGGGCAGTATAATATGGATCATCAATCTCTAGCCTATTCAAAACACAAGACTGATGTGGATCAAAAACTGAGAGCAGAATCAGAGAGAGAGAATCAGAAATCCAGTAATAAAGCATCAAAGCCAAGAGACCTGGTATGTTCCCAAGAAAACATCTAATTACCTACTTCACTTTTATCATGAAGCCTTGCTTTATTAGTAAACTAGGTATATTAATATGTTTTTATATTCATTTTAGTGTAATGAAGAAAGTGTCTGGGAGATGAAGACATAGTAGAGATAATTGGTGAAAATGAGGTGAAAAGCTACAATAGATTCCATATTATACTTTTACAAATTATAGTTTGTTGTGATTTATTTTTATTGATTATAAATAAAAGTTTTATTTTTTATGAGGGTAAAAATATTGTTAATTTTGGTTAAAAATGTCTCTATTATGCAATAAAATTTTTGTTTATTGGTGATTCACTATTAAAAAAAAAATACTTAATTTTTTTTAATATATGTATAGTAAGTACTTATATCAAAATTGTAATATTCAATAAATGAAAAATACAGTATTATTCAGGTCATGAAAAAAATCTTCATAGAACATTATAGGTATTCATTGATCTGATTGAAACAAAAATGAACAATGGTAGATTGATATATTATAAATAGGTAGATATTTTTTTTATAGAACTTGTTAAATCAAAATCCACAAAACCATGCCAACTTTGGTGTACCTACCTAAAATATCTACACATTAAATATGGAACCATTTGATTTCACATTATCACTGTCACAACTATTCATAAGCACTTGAACACTTATACCAATAGTTCATTTTTGCATGTACTCTTCTAATAACTTTCAACATGAATTATCAGAGATGCTATTATTTTGCTATTTTGTACATTTTGTGGTGTAGATTTCATTTGTGATGATACACTTGGTGGCCTAACTAACTCACAACCTTTTTCTTGAATCAGTGTGGCAATATGTTAAAAGCCTCTACCAGCCAAAATAGATACATTTGTGGGTAACTCATTCAAATAGGTAGATTTTTTCACAATCTCTGTAACTCTGTATCAGATATCCTTCCTCCATACCTATGCTTTAGGTATGAAATTGATGAATCCATTTGGAGTACAAGATAAAAGGAATTTCATTGTATTACAGCTTTTATATTCAGACCAGCTATTTGCCTGTATAACTGGATCTGGCTTCTCAATTTCAACTTCAAAAAGGTTTATTATGCTCTGAACATTACTGTACCTAGCTCTAAATGTAATTGGTGTATTTTTTTGAATGTCTTTTGTCTATGTCAGGCTGAAATACAATATTCTGCAATACATCTGCCATCTTTGGTAAAAATTCTCTGGATATTGCTAATACCAACTCCAAAATTAATAGCTGATCTTTGGTGTTGATCATTGAGTCTTACTTTTTTCAAATTAATCAGACACTCTTCATAAGACATGCTTCCCTCTTCACAAATAAGATGTACTATTATATAAGTCCCTGGATTTCCAAGAAACAATCTTGATAAAGTTCTATTGCATAAATTTCAGATTTTTTATGACTTGCTTCTGTATGTCTGTCTCTAATCTCTTCTCAGCAATCTCATCAAGATCAGTTGAACTGTTTAGCTCATATTCCCTTGTAGGTGATGAAAGAGATTCAGATATTGTATCTGAACTTGAAAATGAAGGTTTCATACAACAAGGTTTGATAACACTCTTCTCCCTCAACTTGATATGATTCATTGGTTGGGTACCTACATCATGAAAAGTTTTATTTTCCATATTTGCACCTTTACTTCTGAATGGCCCTTTTATATTAGTCTGAATACCAATAAGTAGATGTTTTGAGACAAATTTCAACTATTTCTTCCTCAACCTCAATGATGTCAGGAACTGATATAGATGTATTTGCTACATTTTTGGATGATGAGGGTTCTGCACTTAGTTCTGCATAATCTGATAGCTGTATTTTTCGTTTCTTCCAAACATTTCCCAGCAACTCTGCTTTCCTTTTGTTTCCCTTACCAGTCAGTACACTTCTTTTGTATGTGGGTGGCGGACATTCAAGAACTTGTGTGGCACTACATGAGGTTTCAGCTTGAGTGTTGTTCCAATGATTTTGAAAAACATCCAATTAACTGCATTGTCTTCAAGCTGGAATATCGGATATCACATTTCACAATGGGAACCCACATTGAAATGATCCTCACAGCAGTAGAGGTCATGTCCTGTAATAAATTGCAGATGCACTGCCAGTTTTTCCTGCGTTGGGTACTAGCCGGGACGGTCGAAAAAAGTTTTTCATGCGAATTCTCACTACTATTTTGACAAATCGGTATAAAACATACGACTACCATAGGTTAGGTTATACGTAAGGTTATACGCAATCTTCTTCTCCAATTTTAGTGTCATTACCAAAATATTCATAACACATATTTTGATAAATGACAATCAGAAATATTTTTGCACTTGTCTAAGAGAGAGAGAATAGATATGTATGTCGAATCTTATATGAATTGTTCACCGGCTGCCTACGTCGTGCCTACGTCACGCGCTTTCCCGCGTTTTTCATGTTACGAAATATCGTGTATTTCAATAATTATTTAAAAAATGTACAGAGCTCTGGGGAAAAAACGGTTTGCGACAGTGAACTAGTTAGGGTTAGTACTTCGAAATAATGAAATAAAATTTTTCACTGAAACAGGCCCATTCAGTGCGGAACTTGGATGAACGATATTTCAGGAACGTCTCGATGTTTTCGCTTGAAATTCACCAGCAATTTACCTCTATACTGACAAACCCCACGATGACCGACTATGGAAGAAAAATTCTTGAGCCGGGTTTCCTCTTCAAATGTCAAAATTTCGACTTTCTGAGTCGAATTTTTCGAAAACTCTCATCAGAATCAGAAAGATCAGGAAATAGTTATTCCAGCTAAGGCAGGCAATCTACTTTGCTGCCGAGTTGAACACATAATTTTTTTTCCGATTGTTCATAATGATATATATCTCTTTATTTTTCCTGTAGTGCTCAATTAAAATAAAATTTTATAGAAATCGCAGTTGTTGGAATGGTTGGTTGCTATGGAAATGTCCATAATAATTATAGTTTGACAATTCATGAAATTTCTGACAGTTGTGCGAAAAAATATCGGTTTATTTAAATTATTATATAATGGACAGTGATAGCGACCTGGAAGTACTTACACCACCAGAAATGAGGGGGGTGGCAAAAAAAATAGAGTTGAATTTGTTGCCGGAGAAGTCTCGGATGAAATATGAAGGAAATTATAAACGATTCATGGATTATTAATTTTGCTGATACATATCAATCAGCAAAGTAACCCACTTTGCTGCCTAGGCAGGAAAATTAATACTTTGCTGATTGATATGTGTCAGAAAAATTAATATTTGCTGCCAATCGGAGAAAAAAGACTAAACGTGTAGTTTTTTAATTTGTACGACACACTTTGACCGGCTTGATGAAAAAATTTCAAACAAAATTCAGATGCGTCCGAACCATTACTCACTACATTCGATTGAAAGTATCCGAATCAGTTTTTTCGCATATGCTATAGCAGCAGAGTTTGGAAAATGTATAATTGAAAAAAGTTCAGGACCGGACTGTGTTTATGGAAAGAATTACCAAACATGATTTTCGAAAAAAATTTTGTTTGTATTTTTCTCTTATGGTTTTTCGAATAATTTGCCGATTATTTCTGATCATATCTGAAGCTGTAACAATCCTCTCTCTAAGTTACCCTCTGGTGTTGACTTCAGTCTGATGGACCAATCGTTTCATATTATGTCTCCATGGATAATAGTCTAATATTATGAGATTAGAGGACCTAGGGGACCTAAAATGAGGTCCGCCACGACCTATCCAGCGATATTGAGAATTGTTGGTCTAGGTATTCTCTCAAATGTTTTGAGTAATATAGAGGGGCCCCATCCTGTTATGAGATGATACCTATTTCATTCCATTTCCATGCATCCTCGCATCACAGCCTTCTTTTGTAGTGTTTTGTGAATGATGAAAACATGCCAAACTCACCATTTGATTCGCTGATTTTTAATTTGTATAAGTTAGCACGTATATCTGACTCGGAGAAAATATTTTACCTAAGCAATCATTTTTCATATTTTTTCATTTCTTAGAGCACACGAAAGGAAATTCCTATATTTTTCGAAGAACATCAGGTGTCCCTAGGGAGGATAGGTAGGTATTTCCATGTGTTGAAAGGTGTATTCAAGAAGAGTGAGTCCGGTTCTGGAATTTTATTTCAAATAGTGCCTCTTTCAACTCATACCATTCACCGATATGGATCTCAATGAATTTGTTGGAGGATGTGACTACAATTGCCGGTAGGAAATCATGGAATCGGTCGTCAGTATTTTGTTCGATATTTTTTCATCAAACCAGTCGAAGTGTGCCGTAAAAACTGAAAAGCTACACTTGTAGTGTTTTTCCTGATCTTTCTGATTCTGAAGGAAGTTTTTGAACAATACGATACAGAAAGTCGAAATTTGAGTTTTTCCAAGTCCGGCTCTGAATTTTTTCCCATAGTAGGCCATCGTGTGTGTTTCAGTGAAGGTGAGTTGCTAGTGAATTTTCAGGCGATAACTTCAAGACGTTCCTGGAATATTGTTCATCGAAGTTTCGCCCCGAATAATAACCTGTATGTTTGTTAGGAATAGGCAGAATATATTTTCTTCAATATATATTAACTCACCTTGACTTCCTCTGTCTTCCATTAAGCTAAGGCCGGTTAGTCATCATGACCCACCCTGTAAAGTAAATACAAAGAAGCTCATTTCCGCAAATGTTCATGAAATAAACTACAATAGCAGATTCTGTATATAGGTTTGAAAATTGGGTTCAATAAATGCTATTCAAAATAAATCTCAATCCGGGTTAGGAAGGAATGATAGTGCAATTGCTTAATTCAGAATGCTGTGCTCTCATTCATGATTATCACAATTACTTTCGTATGTACCAGGTGATTCAATAAAGGTAACCGAGAAGCTGTATCTCAGGAACTGATAAATTGCTAACAAAAGGTGTGGTTCGAGGAAGGAAGGTTTGGTGAATAAAATAAAGATCCATACATACCATTCTGGTTCTTACTGCCCTCGCTAGGAGGCGTGTTTAATAAACTATTAGTTCCTGAGATACTGTACCTCGTCACCGTTATTGAATTACCTGATACAATGAAAATTATATATTGTCAACACTTAGTGAGGTGGAATAATAATAATATTTTCATATTCAGTAGTAATACTATGAGTACGTCAAAATATTCGGGTAAAACAGCGATCACTTGTTGCATAATGACAAAGACTTTCAGTTTAACCGTTGAAATAATCTGACCGCGAGGAGGAAGGATTATTCTGATAAACTGACACGATATGTAATCATGCAGGAAGTTTGAGATGCATAACTTCAGATAGTTTGAAGTTCGAATTGTATTAGAAACGATTATTTTTTGAGTAATTCTGAACAAGCGTCAACATTTTTCGACGCACTTTGTTTGTATGTACCAATATGAATGAGTGACTATGGAATAATTTCAAATTTCTAATTGACGAAGTTACTCAATGTATATCAACGTATATCAAAATTAGACAAGGTGTAGCTCAACTCAATTGAAAGGTCTGATTGGTTGGAAATCATACGAAAAGAATAATCTAATATATGTACACAAATATAGATTGGGAAGAGATATGATAAAATACAATGATAGAGAAGAGTAAGAGAATGTGAGATCAATCGAAATTTTCAGTAATATTAGAACACTAATATAGAGTGAATGTTGGGAAAATATTGACAGGCCAGGGCCTACTCTAGAGTAGGCCCTGGCTGTGCTCTTTTTAATATCGAGTTCATATTCGTGTACAAGATTGGACAAGGATATGATACCAACTTATGGAAACCGGTTTCTTATAATTCTCATATGTGAATTCGATAATATATTTATATTTGCCTACTATATTGACCAGAATGAGGATGTGATCATTATGCGATATCATCATAATGTTGAATTATAATGATTATTCAATCGATATCGTATTTCGTTTGTGCTTCAGAATCCAAATTCAAAATCCGTAGGCATATAAGCCTCATTCAAAAACAAATTAGCGAAATTGGTACAATATTATATCAGCATTAGGTATCAGATCCAAGATACCAACTGAAACGAATACATATTGGTATTTTTTCAGATGTTCCTGAAGATGATCTCGTATTGAGGATAGAATCTCAAAAAGTCGCACCTGGTGGTAGAGTTAGAGCGAATTGCACTACTCCAGGCTCTTATCCTGGGATCAATATCACTTGGTTCTTGAATGATGAAGAGGTAAGGAAGATTATCAACGGTTATTTATACACGGAGAGTGGAGAGCCAGAGGAACAAACGATGAAGCTAAAAAGAACGAATTCCCAAAAGAACTCCAGCCTGGGATGGTTAATGGATAACTTCCACTCCTTGATTGGTCTTGAGGGAAATACTTAGATATTTCCCCTATTACGAAGGATTGAGATGTTTCTCCCAAGACCTAAGATATTGTTGATTCACTTCTTCAACATCAAATTGTGTGGGTTTCACTCTAGCAGTCTTCAAAATATTGATCCATTTTTGTGGTGTTTCTTCTCGAGCTTCCTGTTTCACGATGCCGAAATCCTCATCACACTCCATGTACGAGTTTTCATGCAGTCTGATTAGTGACGCGTAATCAAGAACTGCTGCACTGCTATTTATTATACAGGATGGGTCACGGTCGATGGCACCTTAGACGTTTACGGAGAACGGGACATAAGATCATTCTGAAAATTTGGTTACTCAAGTAATTGCTCTTGATCTATCGATCTAAAATATTTTCAGCTCTGCGGCGTTGCCGCTTCTATCGAAAAGTAGCAACAACTTTGTTATTTCAAATGGAACACCCTGTATTTTATTGCATCTTCAGATTTTCTCTGCAGAGTTGATTTCATCGATGTATCACACTTGGGGTCTAGCAGTTATAATTACTGAGATATAGGGTGTGAGAAATCGAGATTTTCCAAGTTCCAGAATTTTTTGTGTCGAAACTATTCATAATTGGTCAGAACGGCTTACATGTCCCTATCTCAACTTTTGATTAACTATCTACTGATATTTAATTGGGACATATACCGGGTGATCAAGATTCTGAATTCTGCACCACCCTGTATTTGTTTCAATTAAATGTCAGTAGATAGTTAATCAAAAGTTGAGATAGGGACATGTAAGCCGTTTTGACCAATAATGAATAGTTTCGACAAAAAAAATTCCTTAAGTTGAAAAATGTCGATTTTTCACACCCTATATCTATGTAATCATTTCCGCTAGACCCCAAGTGTGATACATCGATGAAATCAGCTCTTCAGAGAGAATCTGAAGATGCAATAAAATACAGGGTGTTCCATTTAAAATAACAAAGTTGTTGCTACTTTTCGATAGAAGCATCAACGCCGCAGAGCTGAAAATATTTTAGATCGATAGATCAAGAGCAATTACTTGAGTAACCAAATTTTCAGAATGATCTTATGTCCCGTTCTCCGTAAACGTCTAAGGTGCCATCTACCGCGTGACCCACCCAGTATATTCAGTTGTCAATGAACTCTCACTGTGGCACTTGTTGAAGTTTTATGAAAAAAAATCATGAGAATATCTGCGCTAGAATACTGAAAATATAGGAAAATGGTTGGTATACCTACGTGAGGTTCGGTAGGTGACTACTTCGATGATTCTGCAATTATGTACTGACTACAGTGCAGACTCGATAATCCGAACTAATAAAAACCAAGGCGATTCGGATTACCAAAAAATTCGGATTACCGAAGCAGTTTTTTTTTCAAATTTTTTATCACGAAATGCAAAAAAACATAAATACGAAAAAGTAACACTAAAATATGCATAAAAGTAAGAATATAATACTAGTTTCTAAAGTAATTTGTAATTTTTGTTTGCTTAGCACATCTTTGATTATTTATAAAGGCCATTTCTTTTAATCTTTGAAGTACAAGAATATCATTTAACGGAATATTATTTCATTCCTTGCGTAAGTTGAATCCCAGATACTAACAAAAGAACAATTAGGGGAATCCCTGAACATTTCACTCACAATTTCTATAGGAAATAAATAGGCCTAAAGGTATAGGTTCTGATTATCGAGTACTATGAAATTCGGATTATAGAGTACTCAATGTATTAAAAATGCTTGTTCGGACTACTGAAGAATTCGGATTATTGAACGTTCGGATTATCGAGTCTGCACTGTATTAGATCAGAAATAAGGGTTAATGAAGTTCCATTCAACATATCTCCATCTTCATGAGGAACCTTTTCGACAAGATTGACAATATGCATTTGTTCAGAATCAATAGCGCTCTCTGGATAACCAGTTGTGACCTAAAAACGTTTAAAACAAATTCACGTTGAAACCTGTCTGTGGACACTCATATTTCTTGAAAATTACAGGTGGATCTTTATAATTTTCTCCCTCTATATTTCAATTTCAAATCCTCATATCTCGCGACATAATACAGCGTTTTCATCCAGATTTGCTTGAATAGGCTATAGTCTTGTCCAACCTGTACCTTTTGCACCAATGATCTATAATCATATCTAAAAATTGACCTTCACGTTTCTTCCCCCTGGCTCTCTAATCAGTGTCAGTTTCCAATCGTTACAGGATGAATGATTTCTATCAATGTGATGATAAGGCTACTCTTTTCAGCATGAATCAAGATAAATAGAGATTTTTCTGTTACATCATAGCAATATTTTTCTATATCATCAGTGAATAAATCAGTTCCCTTCTGTAGAAAAACCAAATCTATGAATATTTTTCTATGTATTCAGAATCATTACAGGATCATGAACAATGGATATATTTACAGTCTGTTAATTATTCCGAGAGGAAACTGTACAGGATGTTCTGGAATTAGCCTGCCAAACTTCTCCAGCGACTCCTACGACCAAAAATAGGAAGGAACGTTTCAATGAACATGACTCGAAACATGTCTCCTGAGGAAGCCGCGAACCCTTGGAAAATGAAACAATATTTCTAAATCGACTTTACTCTAGAATGATACGTCTGATCGATACGAAACACGAGCACCTGTATTTCATAAATACGTGTGGATTTTCACAATCCGAGATTGAAATGCCGGAAAACATGCATACAACAACTTTCGGGCAATGATTAATGTTGAGCCCATCATGTATTATACACTCTCGAATTGAATTTTAGAATGGGTTCATGTTCACTGCATTGGCTTTAAAAGGATTATTTCTTGTACCGACTTGCATTTATTATATCACATGAAGTTTCGGAAATATTCAAGATCTATCATCTTCAGGCGTCCTCTTTCAGGGAGCCGTAGCTTTCTAAGGATACATTTTCAGACCCATGTTCATTCAATCTTTTCTTCCTGATTTTGGTCGTAGAAGCCGCTACTAATAAAGATTGAAAGGATAATGTCGGGACACATCGTATTGACATATTGACTTTCTTGAGTGCATCTGCTCAATATACCGTAATTTGTGATGATGGTTAACAGAAACCTCCAATGAGTCCCAATAATGAAACCATAATATGGCATATGGTATATGGAGCAGTACATGAGAACTTAGTTATATTAGTATTTTCACATATTTTAGTGGAGGCAATTAACTGAATAATAATCAATCTTCGCAACCTCTGGTGAACCAACCTGTATAAACAGCTAGAAAAGCATTGATAAATTACACGAATACTTCAAATCGTTACAGATATCATTGGGAAATTGTTTGAATATAATATGAAATGTTATTCAAATATATTCATCTGACTTGACTTCCTAACAAAATATTTGCGCTTTGCGGAATATTCCAATAGATTCAAATTCTCTATATCGGATGATAATATAGGTATGTGAATGTACTTGCAATGCTATATTCTCGATAACGTTCCAGAATTGCAGATGCACATCGTAAATCTGGATTTAACGGTCTAATTTTATTGCTTGACATGTCAATGAAATTCTATTTTGACATTCCTTATTGCGTTTTCCAACGAACAATTGTACAAGTGGCACTGGCCCGGATTTTGGTTCATAAAGTTTGGTCCGAGCACGCACAGAGCACTAGAAATCAAAATTGGTTACTTTAGGAGTCGCATCAACTGAAAAATCAATAATTTCTCTGAGATATTGTTTATGCAAAATATGGTTTTTCTATCCCACCTGATTTGTTTGAATCATCTCAGTTTTATGTCACGAATGAAACTTGCAGGTAGGTTTGAATTCCTCGTAAATATTGCTTTATTACCGAAGTATTTGATTTGATTCTCCATCATATCCGCGGGAAATATATGAATTGAAAAAACGATATTTATCACGATATGAGTATCTCACTGTCGAATAAAATTCGAACTCTGGGCGGGTATCGAGCAGGTTTGCGAGCCAGTGGAGTTCTTTTCTCGACATCACCCAGACAGCACCAGATATTCCATGAATCTCCCTATCATATTCCTTTCGGAATATTGGAATATTCTAGAAATAATCTGGAATATTCCGGAATATCTGTGGAATATTCTCTAAATATGCGAATGGGAATTCCTCAGATAATCATAGAATATACCCAAAAGAATATTCTATGTCGAATGTTCCTGGAATATTCCAATAAACATATTCTAAAATAAAAAAAGTGACCCAAGTAGGGATCGAACTCGTGACCTCAAGACTATCAGAGCAACGCCTTAACCACTAGGCCATTAATCGAATTGAATAATTTTATACATATCAAGTTCTTGTGAGAGCATTGTACGAAATAGGATCATAAACACTTTTTGTTTCAAAATCTCCTTACATCTGATTGATGTTCGATACTCACATCTCTGAAATAATAAATGGTATTTATGTGTTGAGAAACCTAGGAATATTCATGGAGTATTTCATGAATATACACCACAGAATATTCAGTTGAGAATATTTCATGAATATACCGCACAGAATATTCAGTTGGGTATATTTCATGAATATACCCCACAGAATATTCAGTTGGGTATATTTCATGAATATACAACAGAGAATATTCAGTTGGGAATATTCCTGGAAGATTCATACCTGAATATTCCCTGAACATGTCCGACTATTCACTTTGGAATATTCCTTTTAGATGTTCCAGAGGCATGTATATATTCTAGGAATAATCGATGAATATTCGGAATATACTCCTCCTTTTTAGCATATTTAGAGAATATTCTATGAATATCCAGTGCTGTCTGGGCAGTTCATCCTCTCGACATGTTCAGTGTCTTACGCAGAACGCGCTCCGGGAAAAATTTTGAAACTAAATGTGAAGTTCGATTGATAAAGATTTCAAAGGTACTGTATTCCAGGGCCTTCCCATATAAGACCAATCTGTAGTTTCTGCTTCCGAGTGCTGTGTTCCTCAAATTGTACTATTATTTATCATACTTCTACCAGTTCATTACCCTGAGGATTATG